CGAATTATACGAAACGCTATAATTCGCTGCGATTTCCGCATTTTGTCGCTTCTGCAAAAAAAGTGCCAAAAAAGACGTCTAAAAAGTTATTTCCAGTTATTTTAGTTAGTTTTACTTATTTTAGTTATTTAAGTTAGTTGAAGTTATCTTAGATACACAACTGCTAGAACTGCTAACCTTGACTATAAGTCCCCTTATACAAATTAACGAGACCACGTTGTACCAGCAGCTCGCTACTGATAGCGTGATCTTGGCGAAAGGCGATGAACACGTTGGCATCGGCATAGGCGGAATAAAATCCCACCATGTCATCAGGGATGTGTTTTCCGGCGCAAGGGTCGCATACCCGGTCTCTAAGAGAGACATTCCGTCGCACGCGAGGAATCTCAGGCATTTCATTGGCCTTAGAGCCAACGAACTCGCTCCACACTGTCTCATAAAAATGGATGAAGCTGGAGAGTTGCAGGGAGCGGTCGAGGAAGTAGGGATGATCCCCGAAACCTCGTTGCCGAATCGCTGGCCACACAACTCCGAGCTTGAGCGAGATGTCCGGGAGGAGAAGGAGTGTTGCAGGAGCATACACCATCAATCGGGTTTGCCCTACTCTCTCCACACACACTCCTATCCCTTTGCATGCCTCTCGATGTCGTTCGACCGACCGTCCACGTTCGATCCGACAAAGACGCAATGGGAAGCGCTCACCAAGGAGAAGTTCGACGGCGTCCGCTGTTGCTTCGGACAACTCGTTTGGTATCGCCTAAAGTCAGCTGGCAAGAGAACCCTAGAACCCAACATGGCCCCAGGCTTGTTTATGGGTTGGCGTATCGATCCAGGGATGCGATATCGAAGGGTGCTAAAAGTTATGGACTACCAAAGTTTCAGGACCAACGGAAATGTTACTGTCCATGACGTGCCCGAACCTGAGTTGTTCGTCGAGGAAGGCGATCCTGTCTTCCCGATCGCGGCCGCTGCCGATCGAGCCCTGCGAACAGGCGATGGCGAGGTTCCTGAGTATGCCATCAGAGATGTTCCTTTCATTCCTGAAGGCATCCCTGCCCCGTCAACTCCGTCAGGCTTCAAGTCACGAAGTGTGTACATCACCATTGAACGGATTATAAAGTTCAAGGAGACTCCTGGATGCAAGGCCTGCACCGGCCATGCTAGTTCCAGGCATCACACTGACGAATGCCGCAAAAGGTTTGCAGAGCTAGTTGAAAGTGAAAAGGAAGAAGCAAAGGCCAAAAAGGCCGCAAGTGAGGAGGCCACCAAACCGAGTAAAAGTGCAGATGAGGCAGCTGCTATACGCGCTGCAAAGGCGTCCTCCCTAGAAATCTCAGAAGCCCCAGTGATCGAGGGACTTGAGGAGGGAGACCCCGATATCGTCCGTGCCTTGCTTGGGGAGCCCGCCTCTTCTCGGCCCAGTGTTCCGCATGCCGACGATGTCCCTGCATCAACCAAGAAGGATGAATGGTTTATAAGCCTAGTGGTAATGTGTTAATCCGCGTGCATCATCAGCCTAGGATTAAACTTTTCACTCCCAAGGATGTCGGTGATTGTCCCGTGTCAGTGTGCAGAATCACACCCGGTAGGACCACTCGCGTTGTGTCACAGCAAGATGGTAGCAAGGAAGATATCAGTGATGGTTGGGCAGGCAGTTTCTCAGCACATCGAGAACTCCCTGTGTTCTGGACTGGCATAGCCATTTTTAGGTTATATAGTGATGCCGAGCATGCGGCTGCAGCTTTAAGGGTAACATCCCAGTCAGCTCAGGAGCAGCCGTCGCCGTGTCAACCGCATCCAGCACAACACTTGCTGAGACCACGAAAGAGAAGCCATCCGTTTTCGGTAACCCTTGCCAGCTTCAGGGGGGCTATGAACGCCCTCCACTTACTGTTGGCAACAAGCGTGCTCGCAAGCGCCTAGCGCGTGATGCTGTTGGCCCGATGTTTGAATTTGCTTGTTCACCTAATTCCTCAATGGGTAATGTGTTCAAGGATCTCAACATCCCACATGTCCGATTAGCAAAGGAGTACATTGACTTAGAGTCAGCCGTTGTGGATGAACAGCTCGCGTATCAACTCTCGCAGTGCGTCCGACCCAACTTGTGGGCAGCCATTCCATGTGTCTCAGGATCACCTTGGCAGAGGCTGAACCTCCACAGGTTAGGAAAGCCGTTTAACAAGCAATCCAAAGTGATGTTTTCAAAGTTTGCATTGCACGCAGAGCATGTGTTGAAGGCTGGTGGATCAGTCACTTTCGAGTGGCCACGTGATTGCGAAGGCTGGCAGAGGCCAGATGTAGCCGAGTTTTTCGAACGCCACAAGGATGTGTTCCATGGTGTCTCGTTTCATGGCTGTGCTGTTGGTTTGACGGATGAAAATGGTTCACCCATCAAGAAGCCTTGGCACATCAAAACTACATCAAAGGCCCTTGCCGAAGCATTCGCTGATCGCCAGTGTCCGCACTCAAAGTCCGAAAAACATACTCCAGCGGCAGGGAGCCGAACCTCCCGCACTGCACTCTACCCTGAGCAAATGTGTGGTTTGATCGCCAAAGCGTTGTATCCCAAAGTTTGTAGGACTCCGGTTCAAGCAATGCCTGTAGTGCCAGTCACTCCTCCTTGATGTCCAAAGTCTACTTGCCAATGCTGTCGACATGCCCGCCAAGGCTGTCGAAACAGAAGCGCATGCAATGGTCACCAAACTCCTGTCCCGTGCCGAGATGCTTGCATCTCCTGAAGCATTGGAAGCAATCAAGCAGGAGGCTACCGGACTCCAAGACGTCGGAGTATGGGATAGTTCAACTGTCCGGGAGAAGGCTGAGGTCGCAGCTCAAGCGCGACAGTCTGGGATCAAGGTGCACTTTGGTCAGCTCATGACGATCGCCAGCATCAAGTTCTACGAACTTGCGAAGCACCTACAAAAGGTAAAGGGGCGCATTGTGTTCAGGGGAGACTGTGCAACAGATGAATCCGGTGCACCCGCGGTGTACCAAGAACTGGGGGCCAACCCCACCTCGGTACAAGGTCTAAACGCCTGTCTGGCGTATGGGTGCATCCCAGGACACACGGTCACCACCGCTGATGCGGTGAAAGCCTACGTCCAGGCGTTCCTTAGCTCGCAGTTTCAGACGTGGATCGAACTCCCGCCTGAGCTTCGGCCAAAGGAATGGGGTTCCAAGTTCGTGAAACCCGTGGTCTTGTTGATTCGTGCCCGATATGGTCACCCTGACGCAGGAGGTCTGTGGGAGGCACACCTTAAGAAACTGCTCAAGCAGCTGGGAGGAGAAGAAATCCCAGAGCTTCCTGGAAACTTTTTCTTTAAAGGGGTAGGCTTTATGCTCTCGACTTACGTCGATGATTTGACCCTCTCGGGTCCCGCAGATGCACATATGAAGCCTTTAGGGAAAAGCTTACAACAATGATAAATGTAGAGCCTCCCGAGCCGATCTTTCGGGTGCTCGGGCGTAATCATGTCTTTATAGACGCTCCCGCAGAACCTCAAGAACATGATCTGAATGCAGCTGTAAGCGCATTAAAGGGTGCCGTCGCCTTTGACATGAATGACTTTGCGTAGAACTGTTTTGTTCTATAACCGGCACTCAGCCCGAGAAGCTCCGGAAGGTAGCTACTCCGTTCTGTCCAGACGGATCACTTCCTCCTGAAGATGATCAGTCAGCTGGTGAGCTAGCCCCAAACGCGTGCAAACTCCTCATGAAGGCCTTGTGGCTGGGACGACTAGCGCGTCCTGACATCATCAAGCCCATAGGTGACCTAGCAACCGCCGTGCAGAAGTGGTCTCGCAACCACGATAGGCAACTCGCCCGTCTTATCGCGTATATCCACTCGACTACGCACTACCGGTTGGTAGGGGTCATAAAGGACAACCCGCAAGATCTTCACCTCGCTCTGTATGCGGATGCCGACTATGCTGGAGAAAGGGATGCGAAGTCCACATCCGGTGGCTTCTTGGTCCTCAAAGGTCCAAACGCCCATTTTCCTTTAGCGTGGTTGAGCAAACGACAAACGTCAGTGTCGAGACCCACCACCGAAGCCGAGGTCGTTTCGCTCACATTCTCTTTGTATCAAGAGGGTCTTCCATCCTTGACCTTGTGGGAACGTTTGCTTGGACGCCAGGTTGAGCTGGCGCTACACGAAGATAACCAAGCCACTATCCTCGTTGCCAAGAAAGGTTACTCCCCAAAAATGCGGCACATACAGCGCACTCATAAAGTGAACTTGTCCGTACTTGCTGAGCAACTTGAACCCGGCACGGGTGTAGTAATCAAGTATGTAGCTACCGATCTCCAGGCAGCCGACATCTTCACAAAAGCACAGCAGCCCTTGAAGTGGGACCACGCTCTAAAGCTTTTAGGCATCAGAACCAAATTGCCTGAAAAGCTGAAAGATGTCCGGCCTGATGTCCAAGCAGTAACAAAAGTGCAAAATCATAGGTAAGCCCTCCTTGTGGTCTGGTAAAGGACCTTGCATCACATAGGTCGCAGCTCAAGCGCGACTGTAGAATACAAGTCTCTTAGTGAGCACGGGGAGGGGGGAGTTGAATAATCACGACCCCTTGACCCCCAAAGAGGTACCCCAGAAGGGTGTGCATGTATGTGATGTTGGGGGCCCCTTTGCTTTGCATGGATTTGTCAAATGGCAATGCCCATTTGGCTCAAGATGCCCAGATCAAAACCAGGGTTTGCGCTCGCCTACCGGACTGGGGTTAATAAGGGTCCCGGTTTCTGGTTCGCTGTGTTTCTTTCCCTGTTGAGTTGTATGCTTCAATGGCACTGTCTCCTTCGGGGGCCGGACACTTCTTTGCTTTTTCAGGCCACGTTGAAAAGTAGATGGTCCTGGGTGCTACATATCAGTAGCTCATGTTTTGTTTGTTATTTATTATCATTTTCATTATGATTATTATTATTGTCATTATTAGTTTTTGGTTTCTAACAACAACCACACCAAACATGTTGTTTGAACTTTTCGACCTTCCAACGAGGACCCAAGCTGGGAGGCTCCCGTTCCGGCGGATTTCTCGGCGACTTCAGACGCTGAGTTGGAGAATCCGTCCATCGCGAGCCCAGAGGCGGGCCAAAAACGATTTGGACAACACCTTTGGGTTCTTTGTATTTGGACATGTGGGCGTGGGTCAAAATAAAACCACCCGGGGACCGCAGGTTGTAGTTGAAGTGTCCATTTACCAGGAATCCATTTTCGGTACATATTTTTGACCCAGAGCCATGTGAGGAGCCAATATGTAAGGACCCCTGACTCATTGACAGATATCAAGAGGGATGTTCCAGAAAACGTATGCTCTGTAGCACAGGTTCGTTGGGGTGTCATGTTCATGTGCAGGTTTTACGCATCGCCGGCCTGTGACAACATTTAAGTTGCAAACGCCCCAAATTCATAAAGCTGCATTCCAATATCTTAGTTGGTTGAATGATTGCGACAGGTGAAGAACCGGGGTAGGTGAAGAGGAGTAGGGGAATTGCAGCCAGAAACAGGTGCGGCCGCCCTTTTGATGCTTTGCATGGCTTTGGGTAGACCACCTCAATACCAGATTTGATTGTGACTAATTTGCATTCGTATCAAGCCAGACGGCACTAGGCATCGAGGCAAGTCGCAGGGAATGAACTTGCGACCTCCCGAGAGGGGTAGAGGTAATCATTCGATGGAAATCTGAGTTTTCGGCCGCAAAGGATGACTCACCTTCCGCTATAACACTGGTATGACGGAGTGGTTTCCGTGTTTCTGGCGTGTGTCTTTTTGTTTTGTGTTTCTGCATCGTGTGTGTATGTTGACACACACACACGTGTTGCACTCATGAATTCTGCTCGTTCCTTGAAGATTCAGAGTTGCCGTGCGGGGTGTCCATTAGCTGAGCCTCGTTGCCGTTTTTGACCAATCCAAAAGATGTTTCACCAACCCCAAAAGCGCACCCTCAAAAACAACATCGTAACATACCAATTTCTTTGGTTCCAGACTTGGCATCAGGAGGTGTCCCTGTCGCTGCTGCAGTCCGCGCCGGGGATCGGCCCAAAGCGGCGTAGCTGCATATCCAGCTGCAATTTGAGCCGCCTTCCCTTGGCAGCTCCCATACCCGACAGCCTTGAGGTGTTTATGACATTTCCCACTATAAGTTGATATTTGTTTTATAATAAATCACAAACTTTAGGCCCATGTGAGGCTTGGTCAAAACATCCTAACGGTCCACGGGAGGGACATGAGGGGCTTTCGACATGTTCCACCAACACCAGGGGGGACTCGCAAGCTTTCCCGTGTGGTTATGAGTCTTCACAGGACCCTTGGCGGATACCACTGGGCAGACGAATAGGCCCACTTTTCTCACGGGAGTAAATACGTGTCTCCCTGAGCTAGAAATTCTCTCAAAGGGGGCACTTTAACATACTGGAAAAGTCAAACCGTGTCTTCATCCTGCACGCTTTGAGAGGGCTAGAGGCTCAGGCAGCGGGCAAAGGCGGATCTCTTGGAAGTTATTTGGAGTCTGTGAAACTTTCCAGAATCCCGTCATACATCAAAGCGCAGCCCCAAATGGGACTCCTCAAGTAGCCAAATTACTGTTGCTTGAAGATCCCGAATTCAGAGCTTCTCCTCCTTCAATGAACTTGACCCCGGGCAGACCAGTGAAACCGCAACATGTTGTGTTTTGAACTGGCATACAAAGGAACAGCAGTCATCACCAACCCATTTGAGCAACGCGTCTATAGTGCACATGCCTGCCCAGGGCAATGTCATATCGACCTGTTGCGTTAGCACATGCTCCGGGTGGATGTTGAGAGCATAGATGCGCAAGCATTGTGTGCAAGTGCTGGTTATCACGCTGTAGCTGATTGGGATAGCGTGTTGTCGAACACATTCGAGAACAAGTTGTTTCCTTTGCTGTGGTGAAGACCCCCTTTGCTCTTGGTGGTTGTGTAGTTCACGGAAGCCAACAACACTCTACAGGCATTCCCTTTTTTCGGCGCATAAGGCACGCGGAAGGCGTGCGTAAGGGGCACGCAAGGCCCCTGCCCTGTTTCTTAGCCCGTAGTAGCTCTTGCCTCTTCGTGTCCTGCACTTGTACCGAACAGTCACTACTTCAGGAATGGCATGTGGTGCTCCAGGCGTCAGCGTACGGCCGCAGGGAACAAATCGTGGGTCGCGTAAGGTACGCGGAGGCAATGGCGTAAGGAGCGCCATACATAGCGAATCGTGACACGTTTTGGACATGGCTCATGGTGTTTAGACCAACCCCCAAACCCACTGGTCACCGGCAGGCAACAACTTCAAACAACTGATTAAACAAAGGGTTTCAGCTTCGGAGTTGAGACAAAGGGGGCAAGGGGGTCAGAGGGTTTGAAAGAGGGGCGATGTCAGTTGTTTAACAACTGCACAGAAAATTGAACCGGGGGGGAGGTGATCCAGCTAAAGCGCTTACGCAGGAGGGGGTTCAACATGTTCATCTCTTGAACAAATAGCGGGGTTCAACAGTACTGAACCCCTTCCGAGATGGGCCAATGAAGGTTCCATCAGCCGATTCCATGACCTTTTTGCAAAGCCATGCTTGCCACACCTTTCAACCACCCCCACACCAAAACTCAACACCCCAACTTTCAACCACCCCCAAACCAACACCCAACACCCTAACCGGCCTAACCATCCCCAACCAACTCTCCAATTGGACCCCAACCCAACTCCGAGGTTGGTCCAGAAGCTCTTGGCCGCCTTTGGGAGCGCCGACGCGGTGCTGCACGCCTCCCGCGGCGCTTTGGCCCGGGTGCCGGGCATCGGACCCCGCCGCGCCAACCAGCTCTTCGCCCTCGATCCGCGCGCCGCGCGCGACGCGCGCGATGCGTCGGAGGTGAAAAGTGCGGCGGATTTGGCGCGAGGTCCGAGGGATGTTTGTGTCCTTATACTTATGGGTCTCTCCACAGGGTTAACTTCTTTGGCCTCACGAATTGGACCAAACCATATTTCGGTCGAAAAATGGTAGGACGGTCAAATGTCGCCTCCGGTCCCTTCAAGAAGGCTTGCTTGTTGTCCGGAATTTCCCGGGTTTTCAAGGATGGATGCAGCAGATTTGTTGTTCCCTGCCGCGTCAAACACTCAAATGCGTGTGATTGAAGGTTGACAGGTGAAGTCCATTGTAGCTAAGTTGGGCTGCATGGTCGCGCCTTTTTGTTTTATCAATTCACGGGTTCTTTGGGTAGCCAATCGGGTCTCAAATCTTGGGATCAAACCGCGGCAGTCGATGAATTGTGTTTGCCGAGTTGCTGGTGTAGCAACCGCGGACGACGAAACGTATAGAGGGACACTATACTGTTGGCCCGGGAATGGCAAACGCAAGGCTTCTATATGAATTGGTACACGGATCAGTTGACTGGGAGCAGGGGGCAAGGGATGGCAGTCAGGGCTCTTTGGCAATGGCACGTGTTGGGCCCGGAAGATCTTGTGGATTGATCAAGCAATGTGTCCAGTTTGCCTCCATCCACAAGCTACATTGAGTATGTGTTCTTCCCTTTAACCAAGCTCCAAGCTCCATTGAATCACACTTGGCGGAATCCCAGATTGGATTTAGGTGAAGTTGACGTTAGCCGGTGTTGCTCCTTTGGCATTTGGATGATCAAGCCGCATGAGTATTGGTGAACGGTTTTTTGTGGTTTCCCTTTGCCGGGATGCTCATCTCTTCAATTGATTCGCTTCCAATGGTGCTTTTCCCAACAAATTGTTTCCCCATGAAAGGGCCCCTAAAAGGCAATCTCTCACCCCCCAAAAAAAAGCAAAGAAGAGAGCAGCAAATTAAAGGTATGAACATTCCTCTTGGTCGTTGACCTAACGCAGGGATTTGGGGCATTTGGGTCCCCGCCTCTTCTTCCCATGCGTGGCAGGAGGATGGCACTGGCGGCGGGCTCAGAAAATCAGCTAACCTCAGCCGTGAGCACTCGGTTTGCCACAAAAACGTTCCACTGGAGTTTCGAAACCTACAACAAGCATCCTGCCCCCAACGTTTCAAAGGGCACCCCCCTTCCAAAAACGCGGAAACACAGGAGAGGGACACATGCGCCAATGAGGAACTGGCCCTAACTCGATTTTGCCAACCAGTTCATACTGTCGGCAGTGGCTTCTTCTGGCTAAAGAGCTTCCCCAGAGCCCAGGGATCCCAAAATTCCGGTTCGTGAACAGCACTGGGAGATAGCGATGGGCCTGATCCCACGCCTCGTGGCTCACCCCCAAGCCAAAAACAAGCGGCCCATCGGCGGCGGGTGCTCTCGGTGGGATCACGGAATGTGAGAACATGGGAGATAGTTGGCGTTTCTGAGGCGACTTTTTTTCCAGACCAATTCCTTACTTCAACCTCCAAAGGCCAAGGGCTAGATCTGTTTTTGGCGGACCGGGGTATATTTTATGCACAGCGCCGAGCTTTCGGGATGAGGCTCCAAGAAGCCGGCCGCGGCAGCCCAGCGGAGTAAGAGACCGAAATGGAGCGAGCGCGTTGCGTTGGGATTTTGGCTCGATACCCTTGGGTTGGTAAAGGGAAGTCAATTGGGAGCCGAAAATGAGATCCATAGGGCTTTTCTATGACACATACCCATTTGGCGCAAAGAATTGCTAGATCAGCTTAAATGCCAACTTCTTGCAGTCTGCAAACGTTATTGCGAGTTCACATGTTTCTTGGATCCCTAGCTGCCTGTTGGATTTATTGTGAAATGTGCTGAAATGAACGGCCTTCTGCGAAATTTGCACATCCCGCTCAGAATGAACGTTAGGCTGGGGTTGCGTATACTATAGTTTCCCTATACCATGTTAAAGGAGAGTTTCCTAGTTTGGAAAACATTCGTATCTCTTAATCATGGCGCTCAATTTGAGGCAAGCTCAATTCGAGGGCAAAACAAGCTTGGCCATGATGACGCTGTAATTTGTTTCTTGGGGATCAAATCGGAGGGGACGCTTTGTTGGATCTACGTGTTTGATCCTGGCGCCCTTTGGAGGGAACATCGTCGACAAAAACGAAGGAACGCAACCATCATTGCCGCTCCCCCCTATCACTTTGGAGGGAACATCATTGACATCTGTGACCTCTCCCCCTATTCCGCCAGGTTGCTTATTCCGTCGAATTGGCGCCTGGCGGACGCCTTATCTCACATATGGGGGAAGCTCCCACTCTCCAATGTGGCCTGATGGATTCCTGTTTGCTTGCCCCTTACACCACAAGGGCTTTCCAAAAAAAGGACACAGCCACATGTTGAAATGCTGAAGATATATTGTAGTGCTCGTTGTACGCTTTCTCTTGAGCGCCAGTTTCGTTTTCACGAATCCAACTAGTGAGTTTCCTTGAGTTGTGTTGAAAAGAGACTCCCCTTTATTTCCTTTGGGAGTCGAGCAACGACTGCATACAAGTAAGGGACATGTAAGGAAAATGACTCCACCCACCTGAATTCGGCATGTTTTCTTGGAAATCCATAAATCCACCATTGTCCAAGTCTTGCAGGTTATAGAGTGGACAGTCGCTAGATGTCTGCTTTATTTGCATTTTTTCCGCAACCCGCCATAGGTGTGATACCACTACACAAACTGCCCGCGACTACATTGACATGGAGTAAATGTTCAACAGTATTGCACTGCGAATAGCGCCCACCAGTTACAGTAGCAAGCAAGAGTTTCTTCATGGCAATGCCGAAGGATGAGACGGAACCCAGCCTTGCTGTGACGCTGGCCTTCCATGCCGCTTGCAACGCGTGCCGTTGCCCGCAGCTCTCACCACCATGGCTGACGGCCTGGCTGACGGCTCTTCAATTCTTTCAGAGCCAGAGTCAGTTATTCAGTTTGCAGCGTTTCCTCTTTTGGAACCCGTTGGCTTTATTTCCCCTTTCGGCCACAAACAGTCGGCACTTGTAGGCAGGATACCTGGATGATCCGTCACAAGGAATGCCCTGCGTGCCAGGCTACGTGGAATGGACAGCAATCAGATAGCACACGGCTTGCCCTAATGGATGCCCAACCCATCTGGTTGAAGTCTCACGTGTGCGAACGGTAAGCGAACAGTTTCTTATTATTTAGGTGTTTCTCAAACCCTGTTCTCGCTAAAACTCGGTACCCTTTTCTAGCTTGGTTTCAAGTTGGAAAGCCAAAAGGAAGACCACCATGTTTGCGGGTCCCCCTATTTGGACACCCCAGGTGTTCAGTGAAAGCGGGAGTCCTTTTGAGAAGCGGCCATGAGGATGGCAACCCGAGATATGCCCCAGGCAGGCAAGCCCAAGAAGAAGGCGCCCGTGGTTGCAGCGCAGGCCATTTTCCCGAGTCGGGATATGTGGTGCATTTTGCTGACTACTGATAAAGATGATCATGACGCGTGATGCAAGGTATATTGAATATACTGAGCTTCGTAATCGAGCCTGGCATCAAATGTTGGAGACTCACATAATGAGTTCATGTCGATTGCATGGATGATAGCGGCCGTACAGTGTTTGGATGGAGGTCTCAAGAAAGCTGGGCTTGGCGGGGTCCCTAGCATCGTCCCACGAATACCCGCCCAGCCCGGTCTTGAAGTATGGGTGTTCTTCAAGGTCAGTTCGTCTCATGTTGGTCCTAGTCATCCCATAGACTTTGTCCAAAGGGATGCCCAGGGCCAAATTGTTGGCTGGCAGCAGCCTTGGGCCTGTGGCACTTTCCACAAGATCCCATGGTGTGAGTTTGCTTGTGGCTCGCTACCCGATTCCTGCGCCTATTTGCTTACGTGACCTTGTTGTCAGCACGCCTTACTGGGATTGCCAGAGTCAATCCATCTCCCGGGAAGCCAAAGTAGGAGTTGCTCTGGGCTCAGGGCTTCGTGGTTTCCTGCAAACATACACAGCTTGGCTTCGGCCTGGTTTTTGCTGCCCGAATCCCAAAGCGTTTGCCATACCCCGAGGACATCGCGTCACTCCCCTCCCCCACTTTGGCTGGTACCCCTCTCCATGCGTTTGCGCGGCCTGCCTTCCTGGGCGTACCTGCGCATTGCACTCCTGGCCACATGGATTTGCCCTAAGCGGGAACCCTGAAAAAATGAAGAGGTGTTTTGTTGGTCCCTTTTGAAAGCATCCACAAAACGGGACCCTCGAACTGACGCACGGACAAATAGGAAAACCAAAAAAACGACAACCAGCACTAAATAAGTTCACCTATGATATCTTGAAACTTGAAACACAAACCACGTTCCAAGTGTGTTCGCGCATAACGAAGCATGTTTCTGACCAAAGTATTCATATTTAGTTGAAGTGTCCATGGTCTCAAGCCTTGAGGGGTTTCGGGCTGTGAGCCAATACATGACATGAATTTTCGTGAAATTTGCTGGTCTGCTGACTATTTGGGAGTCGCATTCGGTGACTCACTATATTTTCTCACAAAAACGGGGAAATCACCGAATTCTATATGCACTGTTAGGGAAACCTTGGACGTTTCCACCGCGACTCACATGTCGTCGCTAGGACAGTGATGGTGAGGACGCCAAGTTCTGAGATGTGCTCGCCACAGTCATCGGACACCCAGCGGTGTGCCCTTTAAAAACAGCTACCCAAAATGGTGCTCTTTTGTCCATGACCACATGGGGTCTGGGTGGTGCCGCCGGTTGGTGGAGTTGTCATGGAAGGGTCCCCCAGTCATATTACGTCGCGATTTGAGACAGGCACCATGATGTATTGTTTGGGGTGCGCCCTCATTAAAAGAGGATTCCAAAAAGCATTTTTCTTCGTAGGTAAGAGGGGCATTGTCTGATGTATTTCGCCCGAGGTACATCTTCGTCCTTAGGGAATGCCAACTTTATTTATGTCTTCTCACTTGATTATGTAGTAACTCGTGTTGTTTGCAAGCCTTTGCCAAGAGTTCTCATTTCGCGGACATCGTGAAGTTTCGACCAAACTACTCCCCAGGTGTTCCATATGTAGGAACCATGTTGGGTGTCCCAGTTCTGGGCCATGTTTACGAGGTGCCATGTGTTGGGAAAAGTGGAGCCTAGTTGAGCGACACCAACATAAGTATGATCATATGATAATATGTACATCTGCCCAAAATGGATACGTGTGTTTATGCATAATATATAGTCAATACCCCATGATACATGGATAGTATGTATCATATTTGGGTACGAGTATCGCTTGGCATGTCGAAGAGAGGCTTTGGGGTTTCCCCAGTGCAGCATCAGAGATACCTCACTTTCCAGATGCCGAAGTGCAGCAACAACAGCAACGCTATTTTGAATACACCGGTTTTACAGGGGTGTAGGGTTCTATATTTATTTGAATGTAATGTAGGCTAGGTTGGTTGTCGGCAAACTGACAAAGCCATGGTAAGCATCGGTGTGTTGAGCAGTGCGGATGCTGGTTTGAGACACTGTCAGCATGGTCACGCCAGATGTTTGCGCAGCGACAGCCTGTAGCGTGCACTTTTTTTCCGCCGCTGCACATCCTTCAGCACGCCGGCGGCTTGGACAGAAGCAGCAAGAACACAAGGCAGCTGCTCAAGTGAGCTAGGAGCATGGCACAAGAAGGTAAGGTGCTGGAAGGCAGAGTGTAGTTGTGTTTGGCTTGGCCATTACCCATCCGCATGTTCCGTAGTCTCCAACTGCACCCGGAAGACTGTCCATGCGTCACAGTGACTGAGATGTGCTCGTGCACTTGAGTGCAGCGCTGGCACCGATCTGATCCCGAAAGTTGCAAGCCTTTCAGATTTTAGGCTGACCAACTTATGGAGACGTAAACAAACAGTTGTGCAAGAAAGAGTTTGGGCTCCTTCGGTGGCACCACAGGAATCCCCTTTAAAGTGATAAAGCTCTTGGTATCTTCGACAAACATCAAAAGATAAGGGGTGTTTCGAAGCGTTTTTTCTCACTATCGGTTGTCCATCAGGTTGTATCCTGTCAGAAGGGAGGCTCGGAATCGACTCCAAGAGACATGGGGCATCTAAGATGCGACACTTGTCGGCAACGAATAGAAAGAATGTGCACGCGCGCAATGGGGAGCCCTCATTAGTGTTTGCTGGCTTGAGCATCGTACGAGTTGCTTTCGGCGGCGGTAAGAGGAGGGCCATCAAATGTTTCGTTTTCTGGGCTGGGGATGGAGTTGTTCTGCATACTTGACCCCTAAGTTCGATCAACAAGTTGTCCGACTTTACGTGCAGAACAGCTTTCTGCACTGATCGTTCATAGTTTTGCGTCGCCAACTTTTGTTTCTGGGTTTACCGCGAGGTGGGTTGTTCAGAATTATTTCTTATGTAATCCTGATGCAGTGGTTTCCCTTGTGGCGTCCTTTTGCGGCTTTCAGATTGGGATTGGGACCCCCCCTTCTAAACCACCCAGGTGTGTAAGTCTGATCAACTGGCGAGCCCGGCTTCTCATCATATTTTGGGGCGGGGCGTGTCATTAAATTCGGCACCTGCTGCTCGGCGGTTAAGGCAAAACCTAGAAGAATCCACTATGTGTAAGGAGTTCTTAGGAACCACCTGCATACCACACAGACAGTTCAAGAGTAATTCCTATTTCAGAAAAGCGAGGCTTGAGTTGTTTTCAAAGTCCCCCACAACCCCATTCTAATACATCGGGCCTTGACAGTATGCGGAACTGCCTAATTGCCATGCCCCAGGTGTTCAAAACAGACCTCAAAGACATTCCTGGTGGCTTCGACACACTTGTACAGCCATATAGCCGATCCATCAGATACATCGGCCTCTCTCGGCTGGCGCGCAAAGCCCAAAGCCGGCCACACGTCGGTGACTTCTCATGGCCAAGGGGGGTCCTCTTGGCGATAAACTGGAGAGCTTGTTGAGCCGTCAAGCTGTGAGCTCTGACACGTCTTCAGCCAATTCCACGAAGTATACAGGAAACCAGAACAGGCCCACAACGGCTTTCCGAACAATATGAGGGGGCCAAAGAACTACATAGAGTATGTGTTCGACCAACTTTGTTTGCTTGTTCAGTACCCCACCCCAATCTGAGCATTTAAATAGATATCCGCTTGAAACCTTACCCTACCACATGGAATCTCAAAGGCCCTCATAGACTTAGCCAAGAGGGCCGTGATCCTTATTTCAACTCAGAACGGGCGAGCTCCAATAGGGTTTCCTATGTATTTTGTTGTGTCAGCAAACCTCACCAGTTAGACAGGCCAATTTGATGTGCGCGGGGGACATAGGGATCCCGGACGAGGCGGGAAGCGAACCCAGCCCGGCAGTCGCCATGTGAGGGCTATGGCTGAGCTCCGCAAGGCCTGGATTGCCGATGAGCGGATTTGATTGGTTTCCACAAGCAAAGGCAATACTTGGGTACATCATCAGCGTCATCATCATCATCATCAACATCGTCATCATCGTCATCATCATCGTCATCGTCGTCGTTATCATCATCATCATCATCATCATCATCATCGTCGTCGTCGTCGTCGTCGTCGTCGTCGTCGTCGTCGTCGTTATCATGATCATGATCATCATCATCATCATCATCATCGTCGTTATCATCATCATCATCATCATCATCATCATCATCATCATCATCCTCATCGTCGTCGTCGTCGTCGTCGTCGTCGTCGTTATTATGATCATCATCATCATCATCATCATCATCATCATCATCATAATCATCGTCGTTATCATGATCAACATCATCATCATCATCGTCGTCATCATGTTCATCATCATCATCATCATAATCAACAACATCAACATCATCAACAGCAACAGCAACAGCAACAGCAACAGCAACAGCAACAGCATCATCACCATTGCCGTTATTGTCATCATTGTTGCCATTGTTGTCGTCATTGTTGCCATCGTTATCGTTATCGTGTTAAAAACCGGCATCGTTTGCGTCCATTGTCATCGTCATTGTCATCGTCGCCCTATTCCGAACTACCGTGTTAATCATCAGTGCTCATGCAATGGAATTACGAGCTTGTTCCATCACCATGCTTATTCTTATAAAATGCATACTCAAAATACAGACTGTGATGCAGTGGGATCATGTGTGCAATGTGCAATCTCGTAGATAGCGCACTGCAGCGGACCCAAACAAGTGCTACAGCACTGCTTTATTGATATGCTTTTTTTTGACTGTTGCTTTGATAGTTGTTAGGGGGTTAGGGGCATTGCTTGCAACCGAGTGAGCTAGCTGGACAATGTTTACCAACACTATTGAGGAACGGTGCTTTCCGTTGTCGCACAAACTCCCGATTTGTTTCGGCACTAATTACCTGGGCAAATGTGTTGGGACATGCATGCTCCTCTTCTTGGCAGTTAGTGTGTTGCAATCGTTTGAACCAGGGAAACCAGTATGGACAAAGTATACATTTGTAAACAACGTAATTGCCAGCGGTGTTGGTTATGTTTTGGTGCATGCGAGGTGGCTAGGCAAGAACCAACAGTTGTCCCATGGCGATGGGCGTTATAATGCCGCACAACCCTTTTTGGTCTCCATGACCCCTGAACCATAGGCCCATCACCCCAAATGTACATGGACATACTACCTTGTCTGAGGGGTTTGAATATGTGACATCCATTCTGCTCATCTAAGCCCTTGCAGTCTTCCATCATCGTCATAACTCAAAACTGTTTGTGTAGTGCCCCACATTCTGCCTGTTCAAAGCTGTTCAGCCCTGATGAAATGTGGTCAAGATTGCCAGTAGTCTATGGGCCGTTTGAGAGGGACGTTGGGAGACACACGTTATGACTTTCAGCCACAGAAACCGGGCGAATCGCAATTGTTGCCATGTCCTTACGGCCAATGGCGAGGTCAAACGAGCTATGGTGAATGTTCTTTACTTGGGTATCTTTAGTTTCCGGCTCTGGTAATTCCAAAGATTGCAGACTGTAAGTGAGTCTCTAAAGCTCCCGGAGAAGCGCCAAAGGCTTTGGGAATCCTCAGAGACGCCTTCCAGGCCCTGGCAGCAGTGGCCTTTGAGGGCGAGGCGGGGGGGTTACGGATGCGGAAGGCGAGACAGCCCAGTGAGGTGGGCCCAAGTTTGTCCGGGAGCATTTTGCGTATTCACCACAAAATCGTGATGTTGTATGATGTCGAAGTGCGTTTCGACTGCGCATCCTCGCGCAAAATGAGGCCCGCGAGTCTGGCTGCGAGCATTTTGCGTGGTATTTACTGCAAAATCGTGATGTTGTATGATGTCGAAGTGCGTTTCGACTGCGCATCCTCGCGCAAAATGAGGCCCGCGAGTCTGGCTGCGAGCATTTTGCGTGGAATTTGCTGCAAAATCGTGATGTTGTATGATGTCGGAGTGCGTTTCGACTGCGCAGGCTCGCGCAAAATGAGGCCCGCGAGTCTGGCTGCGAGCATTTTGGGTGGTATTTACCACACAATCGTGATGTTGTATGATGTCGAAGTGTGTTTCGACTGCGCAGGCTCGCACAAAATGAGGCCCGCGAGTCTGGCTGCGAGCATTTTGCGTGGCATTTACTGCAAAATCGTGATGTTGTATGATGTCGAAGTGCGTTTCGACTGCGCAGGCTCGCGCAAAATGAGGCCCGCGAGTCTGACTGCGAGCATTTTGCGTGGTATTTGCTGCAAAATCGTGATGTTGTATGATGTCGAAGTGCGTTTCGACTGTGCAGGCTCGCGCAAAATGAGGCCCGCGAGTCTGGCTGCGAGCATTTTGCGTGGTATTTGCTGCAAAATCGTGATGTTGTATGACGCAGGCTCGCACAAAATGAGGCCCGCGAGTCTGGCTGCGAGCATTTTGCGTGGTATTTACTGCAAAATCGTGATTTTGTATGATGTCGAAGTGCGTTTCGACTGCGCAGGCTCGCACAAAATGAGGCCCGCGAGTTTGTCAGGGAGCATTTTGCGTGGCATTTACATCGAAATCGTGATGTTGTATGATGTCGAAGTGCGTTTCGACTGCGCAGGCTCGCGCAAAATGAGGCCCGCGAGTCTGGCTGCGAGCATTTTGCGTGCTATTTACTGCGAAACCGTGATGTTGTATGATGTCGAAGTGCGTTTCGACTGTGCAGGCTTGCGCAAAATGAGGCCCGCGAGTCTGGCTGCGAGCATTTTGCGTGGTGATATTGTCCGATGTCGAAGTGAGTTTCGACTGCGCAGGCTCGCGCAAAATGAGGCCCGCGAGTCTGGCTGCGAGCATTTTGCGTGGCATTTACTGCAAAATCGTGATGTTGTATGTATCGAAGTGCGTTTCGACTGCGCAGGCTCGCGCAAAATGAGGCCCGCGAGTCTGGCTGCGAGCATTTTGCGTGCTATTTACTGCAAAACCGTGATGTTGTATGACGTTGAGGTGTGTTTCGACTGCGCAGGCTTGCACAAAAAGAGGCCCGCGAGTTTGTCCGGGAGCATTTTGCATGGTATTTACTGCAGAACCGTCATGTTGTATGATGTCGACTGCGCCAACTCGCACAAAATGAGGCCCAGCGTGGAGCATTTTGCGTGGTATTTCCTGCAGAACCGTGACATTGTCTGATGTCGAAGTGCGTTTCGACTGCGCAGGCTCGCACAAAATGAGGCCCGCGAGTTTGTCAGGGAGCATTTTGCGTGGCATTTACATCGAAATCGTGATGTTGTATGATGTCGAAGTGCGACTCGACTGCGCAGACTCGCGCAAAATGAGGCCCGCGATTCTGGCTGCGAGCATTTTGCGTGGTATTTACTGCAACACCGTGATGTTGTATGATGTCGAAGTGCGTTTCGACTGCGCAGGCTCGCACAAAATGAGGCCCGCCAGTCTGGCTGCGAGCATTTTGCGTGGTACGGTACGTACTACAGAACCGTGGTGCTGTATGATGTCGAAATGCGTTTCGACTGCGCCGGCTTGCACAAAGAGGCCCAGCGGAGCGGGGAGCATTTTGCGTGGTATTTACTGCAAAACCGTGGTGTTGTCTGATGTCGAAGTGCGTTTCCATTGAGACGCGAGTCTGGCCGCGAGCATTTTGCGTGGTTTTTACTGCAAAATCGTGATGTTGTATGATGCCGAAGTGCGTTTCGACTGCGCAGGCTCGCACAAAATGAGGCCCGCGAGTCTGGCTGCGAGCATTTTGCGTGGTATTTACTGCAAAATCGTGATGTTGTATGATGTCGAAGTGGGTTATGATTGCGCAGGTTCGCGCAAAATGAGGCCCGCGAGTCTGGCTGCGAGCATTTTGCGTGGTTGTTAGTGCAAAACCGTGATGTTGTCTTATGTCGAAGTGCATTTCATTTTGCAGGCTCGCACAAAATGAGGCCCACGAGTTTGTCAGGGATCATTTTGTGTGGCATTTACATCAAAATCGTGATGTTGTATGATGTCGAAGTGCGTTTCGACTTCGCAGGCTCGCGCAAAATGAGGCGCGCGAGTCTGGCTGCGAGCATTTTGCGTGGCATTTACTGCAAAATCGTGATGTTGTATGATGTCGAAGTGCGTTTCGCCTGCGCAGGCTCGCGCAACAGTGGCGCGGTGCAAACTTTGAGCGCGCAAAGTGAACTCTCTGCGCGCGCAGCTATTGCAATGACCCCACCAATAAAGGGTTGTGGTCTTGCTGGAAGTAAGCACGGGGGCTGGCTTTTCAATCGGACGTCACTGTTCGGGGTCTCGTGCGGGCATCATAATTGCTTTGAAAATTACATGGGACACCCCCAATTCAACCAAAGAGTGGAGAAACACCCTTCAACATCAGCAACCCAAAAACTTAAGGGGTGCCCGTTTACCCCACAAGACAATTAGTCAGCGACCCAGCCCTCCCACAGTTAGTTGCGTCTAAGCCTCCAGGCCTCATTGGGACCGCTTTGATCACAACCAGGTGTTCTGCGCAGACAATGCGCAGGCGTGTGGCTCTCAGACCGATCCAAGGGAAAACAAGCGAAAACCGGTGTTTTGGGTCCTTTTTCAAGGGATCCAATGTGTATTTGCGCGACTGCCTGTATTTTGAGAAGACTCCGGTGGAGGCCGGCCGGCAATATACTATAGGGAGGTATATGAGTCCAAACAAGTGCAGGGTTGGAGAACGAGGTGTGAACATCCGACCATTCGACCATGTAGCAGGAAGCTGATTGTAAACAAGTTCATTAAGCCTCAGCCAGCCCTAACACAAAGCAGTGCCATCCAAAGGATACACTTAGCGTCCGTGAAGCGTTTAAGCACTTCCGCCTGGTTTCACCTTTTGCAGTCTGAGGTGGCTTCTGCAACTTCAGAAGGGCGTGCAGGCCGAAGTCACAGTCACTAGTCAGAATGAGACGCTGCGATTTGGGGTGTGCCAGATTGATGGTTGAGTCAGACCTTTATCCAGGCTCCAATAAATGCACCTTTGTCCCGGTCTGGTGAATTGTGTCACGAGATGGGCAGGCGTTCCTGCTGGACGAAGAGCGCTTCTTTGCGGGGCGGCTTGGTCTGCTTCTTTGTTCCCATTGGCCTCACTTGAGCAGAAGGGCCAGTCGCCAAAAAAAATAGGGTTCTTTTTCCTGAGGATCCCGCGCAAACTAGTTGGATAGAAATGCAGAGGGCTCTATCTAAATTTGAAGCAATTGGGAAGCTTGTGGCCAGGTTCCTGCATGAAACCATGCGTGAGGGACTCCTTACCTATATTCCCGTTTACATTGCTTCTCAAGTCAACCGAATGTGAAGCAGGACTGAAATCTTACCGGCCTTCTTTTGACCAGCCATCTGCTCAACTGCAAGGAGACCTCTTGAACTTTCACAGGAGTAGGGAATCGCTGCGGACCACTGTGCTTTTTGTTTGTTCCTGCGAAAGGCTCAGGGAAGGGTGTGCTTTTTTGCCTAGCCCTGGCAGGTGGTTGTTGGTTGGTTGGGTTGGGTTGGGTTGGGTTGGGTTGGGTTGGGTTGGGTTGGGTTGGGTTGGGTTGGGTTGGGTTGGGTTGGGTTGGGTTGGGTTGGGTTGGGTGGTTGGTTGGTTGGTTGGCGTCCGTTTAGGGTAGGTTCAGGCCCGGCATCGTTTTAACATAACATCCTCAGCATTGTTTTCAACATCCTCACCATCACCAGGTTGTGGTTAGGTTGGGTTTAGGGTGGGTTCCTTTCTCAGTCTTGGCTCTGAATGGGTTCCAGGTGGATGGTTTAGTGCTGGTTTATGGTGGGGCTTCTTGGGGTTGGTCTCGGATGGGTTTAGGGCTGGGTTTGGGCGGGTTTGAAATTGGCTTCGGTCGTGGTTGTGTTTAAGCCGGTGGCCGGAGCCAAGCCTGAGCCAACCTGGAACCCGCTGAGGATGTTGAAAACGATGCCAAGGATGTTAAAACGATGCCGGGCCTGAACCTACCCCAAAACGGACGACCCTCAACCCACCCGTTAGTGCCATGCCAGGGTTAGGCTAATGCCAGGGCTATGCCAAAAAACAAGACAGGGCCCACGAACCCGAATGCGCATCACTTTGCGCAAATTCAAGAAAGTACTTAGAAAGAGCATTTTTCGGTATAAGCCAACGGGGCTCGCAATCAAGCCTACTGCGCAAACTATGTTTTTCAGATTGTAAAACTGTGCTTTGCGCGCTCCTCTTGTTGCTACACAGCTACGATTTTCAATCTGGAGTTGGACACCTGCGCTTCGCGCGCTAGACTTGTACTACAAAGTTGCGATTTTCCAGCCGGAGCTGGTACTTCGCGCGCTAGACTTGCGCGAGAGTGAGTCAAAGTGACGTGCCTGCCACGAAATCTACACCCAGGCGCCAAAGTACTGTGCCTGCCACGAAATTTGCACGAACAGCTCCAAAGTGCAACGCCTGCCACGAAATTCAACCAAAACGCTCGAAAGTGCTGCGCCTGTCATGCAAAGGCAAAGTAAGCTTGCCACAAACTCAAAATCATCCAAACTGCTGGACCTGCCACGAAATCCAACTTTGACACGTTCACAACACGCATCCAAAACTAGCACGGGACTGTGGAGCCAGAATGATTTCGACCAATTTTGACATGCTTCAGGCTCGCCAAAACGAGCCGATTGCACGACAGGCCGGCGCAAACACTATCACGCGCCTGCCAAGCAGGACACCGCACAGCGACCACTCCTGGATGCAAATCCCACTGGCACGGCAACGAGAACACGTAGCCTTCCAACTGCGCAGCGAAACGACACGTCCAGCTTCAGAAGCTACGATTCGCGCACAGGGCCAACGAAAACAGCACATCACAAGTCATCAAAACTCAAGCGTTCTGCGCGTCCCCACTGGGAGAGCCGCAGCGCAATCATACGAACGGCTGCGGACGGTTGCAGACGGTTGCGAACGGTTGCGAACGGTTGCGGACGGTTGCGCAACATCCGGCGAACAAGGCTTCACCCCCAGACCCCCAAGATGAAACGAGAACCCTATGCTACGCATTCGGGAAAAACCTCAGCCGAAAGGGCGGTTGCTTCCCTTTGTATCCAGCAACATCGAGCAACGCGAAAGAATGGGCAATCTGCTGAGTGATCGAGTTTGCCGCTGCGGCTTTCCTCTGCCCGTGGTGCAATCCAAAGCAATGTTTCCGAATTGGTACGTGTCTTTTTGCTTCAAGAAGGCATCTGTTTGCAACTACACTGAGGTGAACGTACCTCATGTGGGAGTCATCCCCATGTACTTGTCGGACTTATAGAGAATCGTGCTTGAGTTTATCGTGGAACACTTGTTCGTTGTTTTGAGAGGTACAGGCTCGTTCCTCGGGAAGGGACTTCGGGAGCGGATTCCTTGATTGCTTTGAAAGGTGCTGCCGACACTCTCAGATATGTGGTGCCCAGGACAAACGGAAAACCCCGGAGGGCAAAAGAACATGGGACCCACGAGACCAAAATTTCTGGAGGCACCTCCGGAAATAACCGTTGTTTGCTTTGTTTTGTTTATTTGCAGGGGAGTACCCCCCCAGACCTCTCGAGGTCTTGCTGTTGCGCGGGGATGGATCCTTCACGGTGCTAGACCCGCAGAGCAAAGAGGAGAAGCGAGTTGGTTTTTTTCGCAAGTCGCCCGAACCACATGATCTGCCGATGGGCGAGCTCGCTGATTTGGGGGTAAACCAGCTCAAGTCTGTGGGTCCTTTACTTGAGGATCCCTTCAGTCAGATTTTGGACATAGTACCATAAACAAATGCAGAGTTATAATGACGAGCTCGCGTCATTTGCAACAAACACGCCGGCCCTCCGAGAAGTCAGTGAGCTGAAAGCCGGAGCGGCCGGATGCTCCAAATTCTAGCCACCTTGGAGAATTGAATTGACGATAGCCAGATTCCGTGAATTGCCGTAGTCCACTCAGTTTGTCTCTCTCCAAAATTATGAAAGGAGACTCGCCAGAAAAAGACACTCTGTGATGCCTCTGCCTTCTTGTCCTTTTTGTGAAGGGGGCTTCCCTCACTTCAACAACTACCGGCAAAAAAAAACAGGTCGCTTTTTCTCTCGGAAATGCACTGGAGGATCTGGGTCTAAGAAAATACCATCAAACTAGGCTTGCCAAGGATGTGTCTTTTCAGACCACTAATACTTTGCTTGAACACAACGATGGTAAGTGAGTGCTTGGGATACGGGCTTTGCAACCTTGGTGAAAATGTGTTTCCTTTCAGTGTCCGTTTCAAAGCCAACGAGGTATACCCTCAACACATGTAGGAAGCTACACTTGCTGGTTCTCAGGGAATGATCCTTTAAGGGGACCATTTCCTGGGTTCATTCCTCATTCCCTGCCTAGATGCTCTGAGCGTTTTGGCTTCTGGTAAGGACCTGGAGGGCCAGGCAGATGCGCAGCTCAGCCGAGAGCTCACTGAGGCCCAAGACCTTGCCGGTGGCACCCTCCAAATTTGCTGGGTGTGGGAAACCACAAGGCTCTCGATGTTACGGATTTTCAGGGGTCAAGACAGGAAACATGTCGGGACCCCTCTTTTTCTTTTTTGGTGTGATGGGGTAGATGGTTCAGTGGGTTCAGGGCCCTCTGACTTTGTCTGGGCGGTGGCGTTGTTGCAGCCACCATCTTGTCCTTGATTGTTGAGTGCTCAACTCAAACTGAGGCCCCTTGCTGCGCCAGTTCTGTTGCACCAGTTCTGCTAACTTGCTCCGAGTAGCCCATGAAGATTGTGCTGGCTGAACATGTCAGCTTGGCTTCAATCGGCGCGTGCAGCAAGTGGCTGTCAGCCTGGTTGATTTGGTCAAACACTTGATGAAAAAGAAGCTTTCTGCCGTGCCACCTTCCAGAAGGTGCGTGGCCCGAGTAAGCCACCCATCACCAAGTTGCTGGTGAAATGCGAACATCCGGCTGCGCTCCTCAGAACTAGGAAAAGATGTTCTTTCGGGCAAGGATCCTGAAGGCTTGATCTAGTTTGTCTAGGGTCAGGGCAAACAAGCATGTTCATTATGCCAAGTGCAGGCTTATGATACAGCTGGCGGTATAATGGCCATTCATTCGCAATCTTCGCGTTCCTTTCAGCTTGGCTGATGCACCACTGCGAGGAGCATTGACAAACCAAGCCCCCTCCCCAAAAAGGAGCATCTCATCCTGAAGAGCCCAAGCAATTCCTCGCCGCTTCCATATCCAGCCTCCAGACATGCCCCACTTGCGTCCTTGGGGTCTTGGAGTAAACCATTGTCCAACCAAGGTAGTGTCTTGAGTCAATGTGTGCTCGCGAGCTCACGGAGGACAAACGCAAGCTCCAGTTTGAACTTTGCTGGGACTCTCCATCTGACATGCGAGCTTGTGGGGAACTTGGTCCGCATGTGTGTGTGTGTGTGTGTGTGTGTGTGTGCGTGTGCGTGTGTGTGTGTGTGTTGCGTTCAAAGTAGCACATGTTTTTGGTGACGGCGCCCACAAGGCGCCGGGACTGTTGTCACTTTTCAGACTTGGTTTTGACACGCCTCTTTGTCACGATAGGCTTGCAGGTCATAGGTGTCGGTGTTGCCTCTGCCGCAAAAGCGTCCAAGTCATGGCGGGCGCCACAACCGCAGCAACGGGTTTACCTCTTGTTGGCCCGGACAACTTGTAAGGGCGCAGGAAAAAAAACCCACGCTCAAGCGCACCCGCTCCTCAATGCATCCATGCCCACAGATGGTCAGAACCCACGCTCAAGTGCACCCGCCCATCAATGCATCCATGCTCACAGGTGGTAAGAACCCACGCTCAAGTGCACCCGCTCATCAATGCATCCATGCCCACAGATGGTAAGAACCCACTCTCAAGCGCACCCGCTCATCAACGCTTCCATGCACACAGATGGCAAGAACGCACGCTCAAGTGCACCCGCTCATCAATGCATCCATGCCCACAGATGGTAAGAACCCACGCTCAAGTGCACCGGCTCATCAGTGCATCCATGCCCGCAGATGGTACGAACTCACGCTCAAGTGCACCCGCTCATCAATGCATGCGTGCCCACAGATGGTAAGATCCCACGCTCAAGTGCACCCGCTTATGAATGCAGATGGTAACAACCCATGCTCAAGTGCACCCGCTCATCAATGCATCCATGCCCACAGATAGGAAGCACCCACGGTCAAGCGCCGACAAACACTCACAAAGTGGGCTTGTGGAAGTAGAGCAAAAGTTTGGATCACCCGTGTGGTCTTGAGGACATTGCAAAGGCAACATTTTTCACTCGGGTAGTCCAAGCCCTGGTTTTTCATTCGGGTTGTATTGACTTGGGTTTGCATTCCTTGTGCCTTGTTCTGGGGGAAGGTGTTTATCTGCAAGCTTCTTGTGCTGGCGGTGTTATGGCGTTCCTGGTTGGTGTTTGTAATGAGGCTGTTGCTTATTTGTCGGCTGCGAAACCAGACGACTCGGACACCCCCGTGGTTTGTTTCCAGAGGACTGCGCCTGAGGAGCCGAGGGCTAACCGCACTCCCCTTTTTTTCTGGGCGCATTGCCCGCTTCGGGTCGGGGTCACGGAGACTCAGCTTCCAAATTCCAAATTCCTTCCCCCCCCCCCACATCCCAGAAGCAAAGGATCTCTTTTTGTTCATTTTGTTCTTTTGGGGCACGCCAACTGAGCCGCAATCAAAACATGGCTAAGTGAAGGACAGCCCGAATCACACGTAGGTGCGGATATACGCTTCTTGCTTCTTGTTTGATACTTTTTAATATTTGGGTAGACGCCTTTTGCACATGCACTTTCTGAGTTCCTCCGCTTCATACTGTTTTGGCAAGACCATTTGAGGGAAACAAAAGTTGGACTTCTCCGATTGGCTCCCCAGGCGCCCGAGACGGGCGCGGAAGGCCACAGCTTTCGGCTGGCGGTTTGGCGGCCAGGCGCGCGAGCGGGACAGTCGGAAGCTGAAGCATGCTAAGTGGATCAGCCAAAAGTCGAACATGCCATCCATAGCTCCAAGGTATTGTGTTGCAATGGTGGCTTCCCGACTGAATCGGTGGATTCAGTAACCATTTAAGTACATTTTTTTTGGTTTGTCGGATTCCCCGCGTGTTGCTTGTCAACATACTTGGACCCCAAAGGAGCCTTTTGGCTGCCATTAATTGGATAAATATGTTCATTGTTTCGTGGGGAAATGTGTTTAACCGTCTAACCAGCTGTAAATCAAACTCGCTGTGCATGGGGCAATAGCCACATAGTCAGACCGTGGTCCTGTCCAAGGGTCTAGATGGGCAGGTGATTTTCCAACCCCAAACTTTTGGTTCGTGGCCGAACAAGAGGTATGGTGTCAAACACAACAGTGTCCCCCTTTGTGACAGGGCATTGGAGGTCGTGAGTTCAGGGGAACCAGGAGACAAATATGTGATTGCGCTTCCCATTGTTTTGTGTCATAGCAACCCTTGCTGCGGGAATTGCATGTCGCATCACAGAAAAGGCGATTCTTCACGACTATGCTGTTACATGATTAGATTTGCTGAGTCGAAGCCGCGTCGCACACTTTCCAATTTGGTTCAAGTGACTTCGTGGGCCTGAAATCACTATCAATGCGTGCATGCATTCCCAAAAAGCGGATGTGTGCTGCGCAGTGACCTGTTCATCATATCCACTATTAAGCACAGTCATTCCAGTTTCCACACATAGTTGACACCATGTTATATGTGTTGGTTGCGTTATCGGCTCTTTTGAAGGGGTCAAACCCCATTGTGTTCTTTTGCCTTCAGGTTCAGGCGGGGGCAAATTGCAAGACTCGCTGGGGCACTCTCAACCTTCAGACAGGCCGCAGGACAGTTTTCGCTGAAATGTCTGTGTTTCGCGTGCAGCGCGCCAACTATCCTGCAGTCGGCAGTGCGTGTGTGTGTGTGCCTTTATCCGGCAAGCCCTGGTGTGGTGCGTTCGTTCTTGTTAGGAATTCCCCCGCTACTAAGTCCCGGTGAGCTCCGGGATCTATTGCGCCATGACTGTTGGCTTGGAACAAGGCAAGCTTTTCCCCATCGCGAATGAAAAATGATCCCCAAAAGGGAAGGCCAAAGAGCAATGTATTCTTTGATTGCATATGGAAACGCGCACTCATCGATGGCAGTGTCCAGTTGCATCAGTGGGTTCTACCCTTTGTTGTTTGCTTTGGTTGAGTTTCCCCTTTGAAACCCCCCACCACAACCGAACGTGCACCTCTCCTTGGGCAATGGGCAACTAAGCTGCCTGTTGACACCGTGCCCCGAGCAATTCCCGTCCTAGCGTTTGCCATTTTCAAAAAAACACCATAGCGACATGGTGTCTGATTTCTCGTGCAGTTTGGTTTCCAGCGAAAGCCTGGCCGGCAGCTCGCCACCGGCCAGGCAAGGAGTACATTCAGCGATGACCTCAGATCGATCGGGCCAGGGTTTTGCGCGGGCCGGGCTCCAGGCGTTTCTCTTTTTCCATGGCGGTCGAGTTTGGGGACGGTGATAGACATCAGGCAAATGCAACTCAGCTTTTTTTAACCGGAAGTTGAGGGATGGTCGGCGCCATTGGGCGTACTCATGGTTCAAGCTCTCTCGTGCCTATCTGTGAGGAATCACAGAATCACCTGTCAGTGGGCGTATGAGCTACCTCTGATGAGGGTCCTTTTACTCGGGAATCCTTATTCCAGGCGTTGCAAATCGCCCTTGACTTCTATCGCATGTTTTGCGGAGTGCTTATGGTCATTTGAAATAGTCGTTAATATCCGGGGACCTGTTGTATGAGTGTATAGATAGACATGCCTTTTGACCTGAGAGCGTGAGAACCATGGTGTTTGAACATGGGGTCAACAGGAAACCATGCCCCTTCCAGTCCATCCATCAGAGCCTGGCCGGTTTCCCTGGAACAAGGACAAGTTCAAGCGGCGAGAAAACGACTCCACCCTCCACTCCCTGGGCCTGAATGTGTTCTTCCCGCACCATCCGAACTTGACGAACCTGTGATCATCGAACATCTGAAATCAATTCTAAGCAGGCAAGGCTCGATTTTTTGGAGAGAGGCCTCTTGCTTGTCCGACCCTGGTGGCAATGTTTGGAACCTGGACCCAGGGTCTCCAGGTAAACCCTTGAGAGATGTGAGCAAAATGACGGCCGGGAAGTAGTCCGGATTGTGGCGCAAAAGGCCCTCTATTCCTTCCGAGTTCCCCGAACCAAGACACAAAAAGCGTCATCCACTTTGTTTATATGACTTCCTATCCCTTCAGCATTGCAGATTGTCGCACTTTCCGACAACACTTGTGAAAGTCTTGCAGATTGCGTGCAATTAGTGGAAGGCTTGGGGAGGGGTCAGAATTTGCCTGGGGAAAGCGCACGCGCGAATCCCATGCTCAGCCTTGATGACAGACTGCGCGTGCTAGGTCTTGTCAGGCTTGCTGGCCTTTGCCGTCACGGTTGCTTCTGCCTGCCGCAGACTTGTTAGCGTGGTGAGCGCGTGTGTCAACTCGGTTAACTGGCGTGGGGCTTCTGGCCGACGAGCATTCGAGCACGGCGCTACACAGAGGGCCCGGGCCCATTGCGCCAAGGCTTCTTCAGGCGTCTGGCGGCCCCGTGATGTTGCACTTGCGCCTGGCTCAGAAAAGGGTTGGCGCGGTTGGTGCGACTCAAGAAGCACCAACAGGCTAAGGTCTAGCTTCGCATTGCGACCCTTGTCCTTGCACTCCACTCCAAGCTGATTTCAGATCGCGTTGTTTTGCCAGGACCTGTGTTTGAAGGCCATCTGACTTCCAAGCGTACGAGCATCGCGCGCGCGCGCGCCCCGCAGCACTTTGCACGTTCAAAGACGCTTTTGGGAGGCTTCTCCCGTGTTTTCTTTTTTTCCGAGTTGTTTGCTTAACTTTTTTATATCATGGCGCGGCCGCTGTTGAAGCCTGGCCAGCAGGCGCTGCGCCTTCCGGGGACTTTTTGTTTCGGTCGCAGGCGGAGCCTTCGTTTGGGTTTGTCGCGTTTGCCAAGAAAAGCTGATGAACCCCCAAGCAGCTGACGTGCCTAGAAACTCACACTGATTGCATCTTTGAAATGACCAAATTGTGCAATCATAGCCAATATTTCCCCAATAATTGAATTTTTGCTAGCGCAACGATGGCACGTGAGCTGGGCCCCTTGTCAAAACTTGGCTTCTGGGTGAGAGCAGAGAGGGCCGGTGATTCTTGGGTCGCTTGCGGAGCTCGATTTATTTGACAAGTTTGTCAATCAACGCTGTGGGTGGAAACAAAGGGATGCAACTGTTGGTGGAAACAAAGGGATGCAATTGCAACAAGGGCCCCAACCCCTGCCTTCACACCCTGCTTCTACACGTGGCTAAAGGGCGTGTTCGTATTGACGGCACATAGGAAAATGTTTGATTTTGTGTCCCCCAATATTTTTCAGGCTCCCGATAATTGCTTCTTCAGTCTTCACACCCAAAACCTTCAAGAATCCGCTGGATGTGCCGTTTTATCCACTAGAAACTCAGATGCCATCAATACGGGCCCCCCTATAAGTCTTTGCTCAGCTGGGGCGGGAGGCGCGGGACCAGGGCGCTTGCAAGACACGACGCGCCCTGATGTCTGACACGCAGGGGTTGGCCGGTCCACTGTCAGCTTTTCATAGAAGCTTATACTCCCTCCAACACTCCCCCCCCCAAAGGGCTAAGATTTTGTAATTTTCAGGAAATAAAATAGACCATGAATAAGCCATATTTTTTTGGAAGGTTGACCGTTGACCCTCAAATAAGGCTTATTTGTGGC